GATACTCATAAATTACTGAGTGCGAATACATAAATTACGGCGATGAATGTGCCTCCCTGTTTGAATGACAAATCCGCACTTATGACTTTTGATTGCACCGCTAAAACACTAGAGACACCTAGGCTAGATTAACATTCGAGCCCGTCACGGCACTAGGCCGCTGACTAATTTTTAAGAGGTTGCTGATACAGACGGATCGCTAACTGCCACTTGTTTTATTATCGAGTTGTCACTTCTAGGATTTTACCTTATGATGACTATCTACCTCCCTCAAAATTCCGACTCAAGCACCTCACCGTGGTGTGGGGGTGGCAACGGCCAGAGCGTCGAAGCAAGATTGGGCACGGATCCTGGCAGCTAGTAACAAGTCGAGATGATGCATTTCTGGCCGGCTAAGCATGTGCGGTACCACTGACAGCCTGGACCTGAGAGTAGAAAATTAACAGGTGCAACAGTCATGAACAGAAGCAGAAAAGGATATGGGTCCCACTACCTGTGAGCCCTTTTGGCCGGCAACCGGAGAACGAGAGGATGCTAAGAATCTCGGTGTGCACCAAGCCGCCAAAAAGAAAGAGAAATGGACCTGACTTCTCGATACGCACCTACAACTGTAGGTCGCTGTCGATGGATGAACACATCAACCATTTCCTCCAAGAGATTAATAGAACGTCTTGCGATTTCCTCGGCATCTGCAAGACATGAAGAAAGTGACAGCCTGGAGGAATGACGACACGAATCTTTTAGTTAAAGAAGGACAGAGGAACACGAGTGTAATCGGAATTATCGTGAACAAGAAGTGGTCTCTACGAATCTTTTTCAGCCGCTTTAGTTTATCGCGAGTCGGGTGTACTCCTTCTACTGCTGGATTGCAACAAGACCCTCGTTAAAGTTTATGACCTTCCTCCACACTACGCTCAGCGACGACTCTGCGGTTGAAACATTCTTTGCGAAGCTCGAATCAACTCCCACCATCAAGTCTACCTATACCGTAGTGATGGGCGACTTCAGCGCAAAACTTGGTCGAGAGGGGAGGGGGAAAGCAGGAAAGAAGCACATTGGCAGGTTTGGTATAGGAGAAGGAAACAACAGGGGTGACAGAATGGTAGCGTTGGCAGAGGCTAACACACTGTTCGTCGGTAGCACCTAGTTCCGGAAGAAGGTGGGACTCAGATGAATTGGATAGCACCAAACGCAGATGCGAATAATGAAGTCAACTATGTCCGGAGTTTGGTAGACGTCTCCGGAGTGCCCTCGGAGCAAATGAAGCACCGCATTCTGCAGGCAAAAAATACATATAATTCCGGCTGTACAACGAAGGGCGCTGAATGTGTCGCATCAGCGTAGAAGGCGCTCGGAGATTGACGAAGCAAAGATGGAGCGGCCAGTTGGAACCAGTTACTGGACTATGACAGCGAGCATTGAAGAAGATTACCAAAATTTCACTGAGAATTACCTTCAGTGCTATAAAGAGCCGAACATGACCAGCCTTGACGATTGAATTAAAAAGTCTCGGAAATAATAAAAGAACTGCTAGAGAAGAAAAGAACCATGAAGAGGGATCAAATCAGGAATGTAGCGTATAGCTTTCTCGGAGTGAGCCGATTCGGCGCCGATCAATAATCGTTATAAACGTGCAAGGCGTTTGATTTCATGATTGGTTTGTGTTCATCTCCAACCCAGAAAGTTACATGTTTATGAAAAGCTCTCCGTGGGCACAGTGTTAAACTTCTGTCAAACTATTAAACAATTATTTTACGAAATTTAAATTTGTTTGAACTCTAAAGTCAACCTTTCATACAAATGAACAACGAGCTGATGTACAAAGCAACCTTGTTCATATTGCATAATAAGCACTCATCAGTTGTAATATCGAAACCACAGTGTTAAACATCCATAAGAAGCTCTCCGTGAGCACCGAGTTGGGAAGTGGAACATCCGTCGGTATGGAAGCTAATTGATGGGCTCCGCAAAGTGCAAAAGGGCCGCGAAATCTACTACGTTCAACTCGCTGCCGGTCATCAACCACCAGTAAAGTTGTAAAAATATCGGGATGAGGACGAAATAATAAAATCAACTATGTTGACTATCACAATAGAGATTCTTACTTATCTTCGTGGTTTAAGTAGAAAATGGCGCAATGATGTTATGTATTGCACATATATTTTGCTATATTAACAAAGTTGCTTTGTACAACAGCCTGTTATACTTCTATGAAAGGCTGACTGTAAAGCTTAAACAAATTTAAATTTTGTGAAATAACTTGGCAGTTTCGAAACATATTTGACAGATGTTACCTTTTTATTTTTTGGGAGATGAAAAATATATAAATAATGACCTTTCGGTGAACGATATTTTAGAACCATCGAAATTCATTAGTCTCCAGAAGATTCACACTGACATATATATATATCCGCCCTCGAAATGATCGAATGCTGTACTCACTTGTAACAGTAATGAGTCTTCAGCTGACCTACAGTTTTCCATGCTACATGTACCGCTATCAGAAAAGTGTTCCTGTGATAAGCTCAAATTTAAAGGTCAGACAGTGACCGTTAAGAAGTTAAGCACTGGGTTTTGGAGTCTAGATAAGTCGTTTGTTGAGCTGGTGAAAGCTTATTCAAAACTAGATGCTGCGTCTACGCTTATTTAGCTTGTCAAATAAATCATTGCCTTTGTCCGTACAGACCACCAATGTCGACAAGGTCTGATCAGAATGAAAAGTGACCTCCTGCTCTTGCAAAGTGATCTCTTATCATTCGTGATCTCTTTTACTTTGCAAACGTTCTCTATGTAATTAGCGACTAAGCAATGTCATGATGTCCAAAATACATCTGATATGAGATACTTCAGGACAGCAGTTACTAAGGCCACTTGGAGACAGTGGTGCAGCGCACCTTTTCAGGGCTGGCTGATCATCACGTAGACAGTACGAACAGATTATTCACTCATTTCAAGCATGAAGATTGCTTTGACAAATAAAACAATGCCCATTCCAGGAAGTTTTGGGAAACGATTGCGCGAAATATAATTTTCAGACTTTACATCAATGTTTAACATGCTGTTGAACCAAGTTTCAAACGTCGATATAGGTCTACAGCTATTTGAAACGATCCAAACACCCTGTTTCATTCGCCCATGGGATGAAAGCAGCAGAGCTAGCACTGCCTGTAAAAGGAATGAACCTCTTGACTGCAACCGAGAGTTCCATATCACTTAAGAGCTAAAAAGAGGCCTTATTTGGAATGACTCGCGAATAAGTCTCCTATCTCTGTGCCAGGTACTCCGACGCTCGGAAAGCCGCTACACAGGTAGTAAAGTTCCAAATCTAGACAGACAGTAATTTACATCTAGATCTGCAAATGCATATATCTTAAGCCATACGAGTAAAAATAAAACTCTAGGCGTCCTAAGGCATCCCCCCACATCTACTTATGTGAAATTGCAACAGTATTATTTGTTGCTTGTCGCATTTTGATAACTGCTGCGCTTTGTGATACATGAAGTTGGATCTATGGTAAAGCTAGATATTGAGCAGCATTTTGCAGAGTATCAGTGTGTGGAACGGATACAAGAAATATGGCAGGGCTGTAGACAAAATGAAATCAAGCGTGAAATGCCGATAACCTTGAATAAAAATTGCATTGTGTTAAAAGTTAAATTTAGTCATAATGAGTAAAACATTGGTAGTCGTGTATAAATTGGGTAACAGATGAAGATTTTAAATAGGATTCATGAGTGACGACAGTAGAATGTAGAAATAAGTCATAAAACAACCACGGATTCAACACCCCCGGATCTGTGACTAAAATCAAAGAACTGAAAGTGATGTAATGCTACGCGTCACCTCCCGTCAGCCACGGTTGTGAATATTGGTTATTGAATGGAAACGCAAAAGCAGGAGTCAGAAATGAGGTATCTTCGACGCAACGCCTCTGCGACGAAGTTCAATGTCAGCAATCAGAAATACAATCGCTTGAGCTGTTTTTTGTTCATATCCAACGGTAAAAGTTGCCGCTGTCTGGCTGCACAATCAGAATGGGGCAGTTACTAGCAAAGCGGGAATCTTTTTGCGGCCAAATGATGGGAGGTCGATCAAACATCGAGTCACAAAACTGTATTATGCTGAGCAAGTAGCATCATCAAGCTGGGCGATTCAGTAGAAGCAGCTGTTACGATTGGCGAAAAGTGTTTAAGATCGTCAGAACTCTCCTGAAGCGGCGGTCCTGCAGAGATATTGAACAACGTGCAAAAATGAATGAATATTCTGTGAACAATTGTATAATTTAAGCTGCCTTCTAGTTTAAGCTAAACTCATGAATTTCATAGTAAAATTGGTTTTAACTACTAGAATGTTAATGTAGGTAGAAAGTATTATGGGCTGAATTACTTTTGATATTGTGATGTCTCTGATACGCTATTTACGATTTGGAATTTGCATTTGCATAATTTACATACGTCATTTTTACTTTGTCAATATAACCGCACTACACATACCCCGTTAAATATCTGTGAGCTCTATAGTGCTATGGTACATTCAACGCATGAATGCGAAACCGCTTTGCAGCCTCTGCTCGCATGTTGGATCGAACAAGAAACATGTTGAAACAGGAAGCACGAATGAAAATACCCTCGCCCGTCAATATACACAGAAGTTACTAAAAATACGTCCCGTTTCGCGTTCGTCCAACAAAGTGATGCGCTTCTGTATGCATACAATGCAAGTGGTATAAGGCAAAGGATTGGAGATTTGCTTTTAAGGCTCCCTAACACAAGAGAAGAAAGGAAACCTGTGATTAAAAGCAGGAAATTCAGAGTGGCAAACTAATTATTCACATGGCCAGAATGAACATCACATTTTGCCTTTTATTCGATAATAATCTTAATGAATTAATAGAGAATTTTTCTCTAAATAAACAGCGTTAATATAAAGTCAAATATGGTCGTTCTTGTTATATGGACTTGATTTTCTTGAAAAATTAATAGACAAACTGTATCCAATTTTAAGTCGTAAACGACAGATCAACCGACTGCGAAAAGTTGAGACAAGAATATGTTATGTGGCCACAGAAGCTATAAAATTTGAAATCACGCTTGATGTGTGCGTCCAACAGCTGCAATGCGCATTCACCTATCTGATTGAATTAGCGTAAGGTATACTGAACTACAATAGATGAAACCAAGCATTTAGAGACGATCAATGATAGCAAAGCGAAATTAACTGTGACTTTGGTCTATGCTAGACGTATCCCAAAGCTGAACAGCTATTTGTGGATACATTATTACACGATATTTACAAAATTGTCGCCGCGTATCAATTGAAATACTTATTTTCACAAATCTACGCAACATTGCCACTCAAGCTCTGACACCATTAGATGTCGATGACAACGTCACTAAACTTTGTATCGCAAATAAGAGGTGAATTCAGAGAACTTGACGGATCTCTGAAGTGACAGACAGTCTAAAATCTGCCAACTTTCGAACGCTGATCCGATCATCAATATCAAAATGCACTTTGCATCCAATAACTCGTCTGTTAATTGTCAGAGCAACCTGCACTTCAGCCGTTTATTAAAGTCAGATCGGGTTCAACATTTTCTGAGCAATTTTAACTCACATTTTAAATCAACAGAACAAAAATAAAATGTTGCATTAGTTCGATATAACGTCATGATGATTTCATAACGGCCACCTAAAAACAACAATAATGAAATTCAGACTGATAAAACGCTTTTAGAAATTTATGACACCATGCAAAGAATTAACAAAAATGTCAAGTGACAGTGAAACAAAAGAGAATAGCTGGGGTAAAGAAATTCCATCTAAGCATGTGCGACAAAAGCTGCGATTAATTCTTACAAATTTTGTGAAACCCTTGTGCACAACGAACAGAGATCGAAGAATAAGAAAATCATATAAGGGCTTCCCACGGCACGGCACCCGGTGTGCTGTTTTGCATAGCGTTTGTCTGGCACCTGTGCCCTATTTTAAACAGGACTAACATTAAGGCAATATAAAAATGCGTCGCAAAATTCAACCAAAAGACAGGGTGCAGATGCATTCAACACACTAAATATTCAAATAGATATGGAATGAGACATTGATTCGTTCCTGTTTGAATAGCAATTAATTAACTTCAACTGTGCATTCATGGTTCAAGGCAAGAGTGAGTAAAGACGCTGAGAATTTCTTTATTTCTTGATCCATTTTGAAGCCGCACACCAGAGTCGTCATCAGAGTAATAATTACAAATAGCACAGAATATGATCAAAACTAGAAAAAGAGTTGGCAGAAGAAACTAAGTTCTACACCGACCCGCATCTTCCTTTCGTTTTTGAGAACTTTCTTTAATCAATGCGATCTTTAAATAGTTTAAGAATTACTTTCATCTCAAACCACTTCAGGTCTGTTCTTAGAGGCCATTTCCACTGAAAATGGCTTGTTTCCTATGGCACATGAAGATTAATAGAGCATGCAAAACATCGTGAAACTCATATACAGTATGGCTGTACCAAATAAATCTTTCACAAACCATTTTGATGAACTATGCGTGGCGTGTTAGCAGAAGAAGAGCAGAAGAAGTGGATCTCAAGGTCCGGAGGTGCGAGTCAGAGTCCGCTAAAGAACGATCTTTGTCTTATTGATAAATTCCCTTGATCAAGCACTATACCACATATTGCTTCAGACCGGGGTTACTTGGACGGTAAAACATCAAACTCAGAACCGATATGTCCCGAGTTCAAGCCCCGGTTTACGTCATTCATCCTTCTTTCATCTGAGGTTAATAAATGAGTACCACCTAACAAGAATGAACGCACTATGCCTGTCACACAGCTGTTCCTGAGTCGACTCTGTCATTAAAAAAAGGGCAGACATGACGGATGATAAATAAACGGAGATCAGCACCACACCATCAACTTCAAAGAAGGGTGCCAAAATGCTGTCCAATCATGAAAGTGAAGGAAGACCAACATTGCAACGGTGATAAACTTTCCAACTTTCTTTAATAAACGATACATCCCTTTTAGGAATTCAAGAGATATTCTAAAGACTTCAGAATTTTTCCTAGAATATAGTTAAAGTATGTCCTGCTAACCGATCCTTGTGCTCAGCTAGGACAAGCAATCGCACATACAGGCAATGAGTTCTTAAATAAAGCTGAACCTTACGAGACACTACAACTCGCCTCTATCGTAACTAGATATTTTTTTAAATAGAAATCATTGTTGATATTTGTTCTGATAATTGTACTGCAACTGTACGCAACGTCAAATCTTTCTCATTCTCATTCTGATTTTGTTCCTGCTTATATTTTGAAA